AGTGAACGCAGGAAACAGCGTAAATGGAGCCCTGCACTCTATTGTGAAGAGTCAAAATGTGTCAAAAAAGGCACGTATGGCAATTCACAATGCTGTGTTGGTCCCTACTTTAACGTATGGTAGTGAAAGTTGGGTATGGCAGAAGAAGCACGAGAGTAGAATAAATGCAGTAGAAATGCGATCGTTAAGGAGTATGTTAGGGCTGAATCTGAATGACAGGGTGAAAAATTGTGTGATAAGAGAAGAGTGTGGTTTGCAAGATGATGTTGTGGCCAGGATTAAGAAAGGAATGCTTCGGTGGTTTGGTCATGTGGAAAGAATGGATGAGGAAAGAGTGATAAAGAAAATTTATGTTGCAGAAGTGAATGGCAGAGTCGGAAAGGGACGTCCTAGGCGAAAATTTATCGACCAAATTGGCGATTTATTGAAAACGGGCCAAATTAGGAGTACCCTTAACCGACGAGCATGCATGCGTAGGTGTATGGATGTGAAGGAGGCGAGAGAGGTGTATCAGGATCGTGCCAAATGGAAGTCTGTAGTCTCTGCCTACCCCTCTGGGTGACAGGCGTGAGTGTTTATGTAATTAAAAATCAGCTTGGAAGCGATTAACTCATTCGTAGTGTTTATTATCGACTATTATATCCGCCCCGGCTTTGCACGTGTGATTTCTGGATCTCGACACCAGCGCCACCTACCGGGTTCTAATGTAAATCTAAGCCATTATCGAAGAAACTTAATCACACACAAAATTTCATCAAACTAGGTCAAGCCGTTTAGGAGTTGGAGGAGTTTAGACACGGACAGAAGAATTACCTATTATAATATTAAAGATAGACCTTTATATACAGTTCTTGTTTAATAAAATATAAGTATAAACTTATTAATAGAGACATCTTATATATTTTCTGGAACTTTGTTATAATATTTATTTATTTAACAAGTACACTTCATCATCATCATCATCATTACAGCCCTTCACAAGTCCACTGCTGAACATAGGCCTCCCCCAAGTAATGCCACAAAGCACGGTCCTGAGCCACCTTTTTTTTATATAGAAGAAGGGGCAAACGAGCATGTGGCTCACCTGATGTTAAGTGACTACCGCCGCCCATGATCAACCGCAACACCAGGGGAATTGCAGGTGCGTTGCCGGCCCTTTAGAAAGGAGTAAGCTCTTTTCTTGAAGGTCCGCAGGTCGTATCGGTCCGGAAAAATCGCCGGTAGTAAACTATTCCACAGAGAGGTTGTACGTGGAAGAAAACTCCTTGTGAAACGTACAGTGGTGGACCGCCAAGCATCCAGATGGTGTGGATGGTATCGGGACGTTTGCCGTGTAGTGCGTTCACGAAATTTGGCGGCTGGGATTAATCCGAACAATTCCTCAGAGCATTCCCCGTGATAGATGCGATAAAATACGCAAAGAGATGCAACATCTCTTCGCAGCGCCAGTGAATCCAGCCGATCGGAAAGCACTCGGTGGTCGACGATTCAAGCCGCTCTGCGCTGGATGCGGTCAAGTGGAAGGAGCTGGTACTGGGGAGCCTCAGCCCAGAGATGTGAACAGTATTCCATGTGCGGCTGAACCTGCGCCTTGTAAAGTTGCAGGCGGTGTGCCGGCATGAAATACCGTCCCGCTCTGCTGAGCACGCCAAGCTTTTTAGAGGCCAATTTGGCCTTCCCTTCCAAGTGACCACGAAACTGCGCGTCACTCGTTGATATGTCGACTCCGAGGATTCCGATACTGGCTGAGGCAACAAGGGGAGTGCCTTGAAACTGAGGGGATACGACAAAGGGGTTCTTTTTAGCGGTTAACGCGCAAACTTGTGTCTTCTGGGGGTTAAACTGGACTAGATTTAGTCGTCCCCAATCCGAGACTCTGTTCAGCAAAGACTCGACTTCAGACACAAGTTTGTCCCGGCACTCGGAGACGTTTTCCCGAGAAATATTGGCTCGGCCGGTGTAAAGAGCATCACCAGTGCTGTCATCACTGAGGTGCATCCATCGACTTCCTGCATGTCTTACCAGGTCGTCACTCCATCTAGTGGGGGATCGCCCTACACTACGCCTACCTTTCTTCCCCATCGGTTATCGGTTCTTCGAGCTATATGGCCGGCCCATTGCCACTTCAGCTTACTAATCCGTTGGGCTATGTCGGTCACTCTGGTTTTACTGCGGATATCCTCATTTCTCAGTCTATCACGCAGAGAAACTCCGAGCATAGCCCTCTCCATAGCTCGCTGAGCGACCTTGAGCGTCCTCATACGGCCAGCAGTGAAGGACCACGTCTCTGATCCGTAAGTCATCACTGGCAACACGCACTGGTTGTACACTTTAGTTTTCAGAGATTGAGGTATACCCGACGAGAAGATGTGTCGTAATTTCCCGAACGCTGCCCAGCCGAGTTGAATCCGTCGATTGACCTCTCGGTCGAAGTTGGATTTACCTAGTCGGACTATTTGTCCCAGGTAAACATACTCGTCAACAACTTCGAGCATAGTGCTCCCAACAACTACCGGCATAGGTGAGACATGGACATTAAACTTGATCTTTGTTTTGTCCCTGTTCATCTTAAGACCTATCCGTTGGGAGACATCATTGAGGTCATTGAGCATAGTGCTAACGTCCTCCAGCGATTCTGCCATAAGGACTATATCGTCGGCAAATCGAAGGTGAGTGATGTACTTGCCATTGATTTTAATACCGTATCCTTTCCAGTCCAGTAGCTTGAAAACGTCTTCCAACGCAGCGGTGAAAAGTTTCGGGGATATAACGTCACCCTGCCACCCTCTCAATTTTTCACTCTATTCTGTACTCTCCATAACGCTACTGTACAAACACTTCAGCACTTCGATATACCGACAATCAACTTGGCACCGCTGAAGGGACTGTAGCACCGCCCAAATTTCGACGGAATCAAAGGCTTTCTCATAGTCCACATACGCCAGGCAAAGTGGCAGATTGTACTCTTCGGTCTTCTGTACAATCTGCCGCAGGGTATGTATGTGGTCTATGGTACTGAAGCCTTCTCGGCAACCGGCTTGTTCGGGAGGCTGGAAGTCGTCGAGTCTGCGTGCGAGACGATTCGTAATGACTCTCGAAAACAGCACGTAGACGCGGCTCAGAAGGAAAATCGGTCTGTAGTTCTTCAAGAGAGCGTTGTCGCCTTTCTTAAAGAACAAGACCACCGCACTTCTGCTCCACGCCTCCGGAGTAGTGCCACCATGGAGGACGGAATTGAAGAGCTTCTGAAGGACTTCAAGTACCGGTGTTCCACCCGCTTTCAGAAGCTCCGCTGTGATTCCATCCTCGCCCGGGGCCCTGCCATTTTTAAGGTGCTGGAGAGCCATTCTAATCTCGCTCAGACTGACGTCCGGGATATAATCGGAATAGTGTCGGGTAAGACTTGCTCTTGGATCGTTACTCTCACTTGCGTGTGGCTCCAACGATGATGTGTACAGCTGCCCAAACCTCTCACTCACTCAAAATCTCAGATGTCTCGGAAACGATGTTGCCACATTCAGTCTTCAGCTTTGACAGTAGGCTCTTTCTGGCAGATAGATCTCTGGCAAAGACTTTGGAGCCCTGGTTCACTTACAATACACATATATGACATAATTACAAAAACATACACATTTTTATACTCTCTGATAAGCATATCAGTAATAAGTGTGCATAACATTTACAGATTGAGTCATGCAACTTAATTTTGGATTAATTTGGAGTAGGAATAACATCCAATTAATACAATACAATTAGAAATTATTCAAGTCAATTATGTACCTACCTAAATAAGAAAAATCTTAAGAAAAAAAGCAGTTTAATTATTAGAAAAGAACATGTTAGATATTACACTTTTTTAAAAGTATAAAATAAATTCTATTCAAAATGTGATTTATATCAGGAACTCGACTATAAATGAACAGAAACTACCATATTTATTTGAAAGTATATAACAGTCGTGAAATAAATCGATGCCAAAGAAAATTCATTATATGCCACACACGACCCTCACGAAAAGAATATGAAATGTTTTTAAGATGCGCCATCGGGGATATTTACGTGGAACAGCTTTGCAGTCATGAAGGTCACTACTACGGCTTATGAGATTTATGGCTATGAAGGCACGTAATTTTGTTGTGTAATATTTGATGTAGAAAACACAGATCTAGAATGTCTCGTCTATTTCGGAGAGACAACATTTTAAGCTTAGTCAGTCGCTGATTGTAAGGTTATCTATGTGAGATACCACTGGCATGAAAAGCAAGATGTTGAGTAAAGGCACGCTGTAAACTTAAACGCGGTAGTGCACACTAAAAAATGGATTCCATATGACACTAGCTAATTCAAGGTGACTTCTTACAAGAGCATTATATAAAATAATTATAGTTCGAGAAGAAAATCTCTTTGTATTGCGTTTTATAATTTTTACATGACATTTAAAGGTTACCTTTCTCAATAGTTACTTTTAAGTTTTAATCTCCTGTATCTCTTGCAAATATCGTAAACATTGCCTCATGAATAAATTACTGACTCTGTGCAGTCGAGAGATGTAGGAGTCCATTGGAAGCAGGAGCCACTTACGTTCAGGCTTTTTTATAGCATTGGGTGACAAACGAGCACACAGTCCGCCTGATGGCAAGTGAATACTGTGGCCCATAGACATCCAAATTTATATTCAACTAAGGATCAAAATACAAATGCGTTGTCACCCGTGAGGAAAACGATGTAATGCCTCGTTTCCAGTAAAAAGGGTCTCCGGTTCTCTACACTCACCATACATAACAGAGCAGCATTAAACTGCTGTTTTACGCTGGTATTCTGTGAGAACGTGGTTCTGCCTCGGTCGAGCCGACCCACTCGTGCTACAATTGTAATATAGCTGTAGCGTGGCTCTACCATGTCAAACACATCAAGTTAGTTTATCACTTCAAATTAACAAAAAAAGTTTATTTCCAGTTAAACCAGCTAACCGTTTGTGCTTAAAACTAAATATACCGTACCATTTGAAAAGTGTCCGTGTTGGAGGCATCGAAATGATTCAATCGAACCGGTAGCCATCCTTCCACGGGGTCGACCCGGGATCGGGAAGACGGCGGTGACGGCTCGCGGTCGATCAGAGCCACCGCGGGGCTGATCAGCATCAGAAGGAATACTGTAATTGTAAAAATATATATGACTATGAAAAGTTTTTTCTGTAAAGTTCTGAGTCTGGATGTTTGTTTTTGTGAAATTTATGTGTGTAAACTTCCCCACATAAAAAAGAACTGCCCTACATAAAGGAGAAAATCCTAGTGAGGTGTAAAGTTTTTTCTTAAAGAAAAAAGGGTAAAAGCTTTTAGTGTTTGCAAGTAGCAATTTTAATAATAAGGTAAAGTTACAGCTTTTCTAAAGCATTTCTACGCGGTAGAGACGCAGCTATATTATAGTTGTAGCACGAATGGATCGGCTCGACCGGGGAAGGAACACGCTCTCACAGAATACCAGCGTAAAATAGCAGCTTGATGCTGAATTTCGTATGGTGAGTGTAGATAATTAAATATCCGTTTTATTATAATCGAGGCATTCCATCTTAGTCCTCAGGGGTGACAACGCATCTACATTTTGATTCTTAATCGAGGATAAATGTAGATGTCTACGGGCCGCGGCATCCACTTACCATCAGGTGGACTGTGTGCTCGTTTGTCATCCTTACTCTATAAAAAAGTTTAAAACGTCCCTGACACTCAAATTTCACACACACTCACATTTCTGAGGGGTTTACATAGCAATGAGTCTACCACGCTTCTTCAACATTGGCGGAATTCATCTTAGAATTTTTCACGTTGGTATACTTTGAAAGCGTTGTTCTATTCTTGTTGGGCCAATCCATACCACGTAAAAAAACCATTTAATAAATGAAATATTTAATTAATCAGATATGGTGATAAGCTACCTATGTTTCCTTTCGAAAGATAGAGTTAACAATAATAATAAATAAACATATTACATGCACAAAATTTACAGTGGTCTATAGCCCCTAAACTAGGATATTAATACCTGTATTTTAGAGGCTAAGAGGCTAGGGGCTAACGAGTGTATTTATAGGCTGTGAGGCATTCCATCTTAGTCCTGACAAGTGACAACGCATATGTAACCTTCTTTGTTTAAAGCTGGCTGCAGGTGTCTATGGAGTATCGGCTGCTGTAGCTACTTTTTAAAGTGAAAACTTCTTTAGCATCGTTGTGATTTGAAACTGGATGAAACGAAAAAGCGACAGCAAAAAGATACAAACATGTATATCTATAGGATTTAGTCTGAGTGAGAATGAGATAGAATATAGTGTAGTAAGCAAAAGTAGCCTAATGGCAGGGTGCGGACCGCGAACTCAAAAAGTTGTGGGTTCGAATCTGTCATTCAAATATAATTTTTAAGCTTATCTCTATGTGGTGCTTTAAAGATAGTTAATATACATTTTAACTATTAAAATAAACAGCTAAAATTAACAAATCTATTAAATAAATAAAATTAACCATATTGAATGAAATTATCTTAATCAATCACTTTCCGTTACAATCGACGATATCATAATCGATTTATATTAAATTATTCCTGTTTATATAATCTAACGCCTATCTTATGTACAACTTTGAGAGCTAATCAATTTTTGTTCGATAAAATGACTTTACCAATGGAATGAAATAGATGGCGCTATTACAAAGCATGAATGAGCATGCAAAAATGAAGTAGATGGCACTGTTACAAATAATAGTTTAATTTAATATACTAGGTACACTAGTGGATAAATTATCATAACGTTAATAGTTTTTTGTAAATTTATTATATATTGTTTTAGTTAAGGAGTACAGATTGTGTATTAAAAAGAGTCCATAGAAAACCGTTAAATAGGGGTGGCGCCACTATAGCTACGGGCTAAATTTTAAAGAACGTGCCGAAAAATATTAGTGGGATAGACGACTTTTTCGAGATTATATTTACTAAATAAAATTATTTTAGATTTTAGAGCTACTGAGCAGTTTAGCAGCACACTTCAAACCGTCGACAACTATTAAGTTCACTTCAACCCAGTAGCTACTCCAGCACTTTTGCGTAGAGTTTTTGAACTGTTATTTACTGCTTACAGATGGACACTTTTTCAACTATTCTACTATGGGTGTTGGTACTCCTTACTACTTCTACACTCCATAGTTTTAGCACTTTCATTTGAAGGTTTCAGTTCTACCACGTGTGAACTGTACACATGTTTTTTTATAGGTTAGGGTGACAAACAAGCACACAGTCCACCTGATGGTAAGTGGTTGCTGTGGCCCACAGATATCTACATCTATCCTCGATTACGAATCAAAGTGCAGATGCGTTGTCACCCGCGAGGGCTAAGATGGAATGCCTCGTTTCCATTAAAAAGGGTCTCCGGTTCTCAACACTCACCGTACGAAACACAGCAGCATTAAGCTACTATTTTACGCTGGTATTCTGTGAGAGCGTGGTCCTTCCCCGGTCGAGCCGACCCATTCGTGCTACAACTATACTTCTAATATAACTGCAGCATGGCTCTACCACGTATAAAACTTAAACTTACCCTCAGGTGGACGGTAAGTTCAATTATCATTTAAATTTAAGTTTACGCGCAGAGATTTTTTAAGTGATAGAGCCACGCTGCAGCTATATTATGGTTGTAGCACGGATGAGTGAGCTCGACCGAGGGGACCACGCCCTCACTGTATAAGTTACAGCCTATATACATCCCACTCCTGAGCACAGGCCACTGATAATTTCTGAGAGGGTTTTAGGGCAAGGAATTGTCCACCACCCTAATGCGTGTTGACGAACTTCACATGTCTTCGAAATATTTTTTTCTTATTTCTCAGACATGCAGGTTTCCGCAGGATGTATTCCTTTACTGCCGAGCACGTGGTAAATCAGCACTTAAAAATGCAATTATAACAATAATGATTTCTTATATTTACGCAAACACTACACTTTGATTAAAACTACTTTTACGGATTATATCGCGTTTAATTATTTTTAATTCCCGAAGTAACCATGGGTGCTGGAAAGCACCCGAAATGCATAAACACCGATTCCTACCAAGGATGATACGTGAGGCCATTGAAATTAAAAAACATCCTAATTTCAATAGAGAAGGTGGCTGGGTACTACCACCTGCTTGGGATCCTACAATCAATAAAATTAAAACTAAACCCAAGCACACTACTGCAAGACTTCAAGAGTCAAGACACAGTCAGTTCATTTTGCGGGTTAAAGGTACTCCGGGTTTAACAATGACATCGGGACGTCAGTCTTCTCAGTTCCCCGTGATCATGGGTGCTGGAAAGCACCCGAAACGTGGGGAATTAAAAATAAAAAATAATTAAAATTAAAATTAAACGCGATAAAATCCGTAAAAGTAGTTTTAATCAATGCAATTAACAATTTCATTGGCGCCGGCGGGGATCGATCCTGTTAAATAGCTTTTTTAACTTTACCAGCATAAAATAGCTACTTAATGCTACTGTGTTTCTTATGTGTGGTGAGTATAGAGAACCGGAGATCCTTTGTACTGGAAACGAGGCTTTCCATCTTAGTCCCCAGGGGTGACAACGCATCTGTATTTTGATTCTTAATTGGGGAGAAATGTACATGCGCATGCGCTACACTACTTACCATCTGGTGATCTGTGTGCTCGTTTGTCACCCATAATATATTTAAAAAAATGTCAAATAGGTAGCAGTTTTTTAGTTGAAACGATTAACAGGTGTAGTGGCAAATTCAGATTTTTATTAGATTTCTATCAGAAAGAAGCTGCTAATAAATAGTACATATTTTCAGGTCACTTACACATTTCGTAATTTTAGTAATTCACAAAACACAAAAACATTAGAGTGGCCACACAATACACGTTACAATGATAATGATAACACAGATTAAATAAATTCTTTATCTCGCCTTATCTATTCAGGTGGCGGTATTAAATTTATACCGATGGCAAAAGGGTATAAGTAATACACAAATAGAAACACACACACACACACACACAAACACACTCACACACATATATACATACGCGCGTATTAGTTTTAAATCTAAGTATTATTTTTTATAGAATAAAGGTTACAAACGAGCACACAGTCCACATGATGGTAGGAAGATCCTGTGACCCATAGAGATCTACATTTATCCTCGATTAAGAATCAAAACGCAGATGCGTTGTCACCCCTAAGGACATAGATGGAATGCCTCGTTTCCAGTAAAAAAGGGTCTCCGGATCTCTACACTCACAATACGAAACACAGCAGCAATAAGCTGCTATTTCACGCTGGTATTCCGTGAGAGCATGGTCCTTCCCCGGGCAAGCCGACCCATTCCTGCTACAACCTATAGCTGCAGCGTGGCTCTACCACGTACAAAAACATATATTAAATATACATCAACGTTTCTTAATGCACTTTCGACATAAAGAATTACCTTCTGAATGGGAAGGAACCATTGAGTTACACAACACTAAAGGAGCAAACCACATTACCGCGCGTCGAAAAAAGTGTAACCACTATCCAAACGCGACGACGCAGCTTTGAAACTAATAACAATTTTAAATAAACATATATCTATCTCACTTACACAAGTTGCGAAAACAATATCGTCGCTAAGATTAGATAAAGATAGACACACAAACATTCAATGGCGGGTTGGTGTGGCTTACTATATAAAATTTTACCTAAAATACGCAATAAAAATGAGTTTTTTTAAACTGCAGTTAATTGTTTTTATATTAATAAAGTACATTTTATTTTAAAATCTTTATTGGGTCCCCTTAGAAAAAAAGGATACAAAGCTTATCAGATGAATAGAAGTAAACATAATGATGAAATAAAACATATTTTATAAGTATTTTTATTGTACTAATAAATCAAACAATATAAAATAGGTAATAAAATATAATTTATATAAAATTATTAATATAAAATAGGTAATAAAATATATTTAATAGATAATTCATGAATAAATTAAAATAAGAGTAATTAATTATATTGTAGGAAAGTTAAAACGTAGTTTTTTTTATTATTTCCGAAGTATTTAAAATCAGAGGTAACAAATTAACTTACTCCATTAATTATATAGTCTCCCATTAATGTAGGATAATCAC